ATTATTTATTTTAGGTTATTACAACAAAAACATGTAAGAATCACTACACAGTTTCAATTGTGTTTCAACACATAACAATAATTGTATAATAGATAATCTTTTTTCACATTCTAATGAACGCTCAGCAGATTGTAAACAGTTTTGCATTTAAAAGTGTAATGAAAAAATACTTGGGAAGTGAAAATAAAAGAAATTTAAACAGTTATAGAACATTTCTCTCATCCTTTAATATCAATACCCTGGAAATTATTCGTGAGTATGAATGGATTTTGTTAAAAATTAGCAGACATAATGTCTGTAATTTATTCAATCAGACATGCCTAAAAGAAAATTTGCACCCTAAATAAACAAATATTTATATATTAGCATTCTGTTACCACTTTTCTCTCAATGTCATTTTTTTGTGCAATTTTGTTCAAAAAGTGGATCACAGAGCCTCGATGTTTTTCTCACTTCTCATTGGTCAGTTAATATTAAAATCATGTTCTTGCCTATGTCCGTGAGGTTGACCTGTTCAAGTTGGCAAAAAGGTTGCCAACTTGAACAGGTCAATTGCCAGTTACGTGTTATTTGTTATAAAATAAGACATATCTCGGCTGATTTGCAGGCAAATAAATTAACGTACTCAAGAGCAAGAGCTGGATGTGAACGGGACAAGGCCCTGTCACAAAATGACCATTATCGTCGTTTACGCATAAGCCCGATGCACGAGTTCCGATCGAAAAATAAAATATTTTAAAGTGTTTCTATTTTTCGACCAATAAAAATGCTTCCCTCCTAATTATACTCGCGTTGTTTTACGAGCCTGTTAAGCCATAAAAAATGCCATAAAAGGGGTCACACGGGGAAGTACAAGAGCAGTCAACAGGAGGCCAAGGAAGAGACCTGTCACAGTCAGTCAGCAGCTGTCAGCAGGAGGAGCACCTCGCCAACCAGTGAGAACTACTATGAGAGATCAACCCAGATCAGCAGCCGGCTTATGAACTATACCACAAGGTAGCTGTCCCAAACCCACACGTTCCTATTGAATTAAATCACGTAAATCTATTTCTGCTGTTGTCGTATTTATTTCTTGCAATCATAAGGTTTTCTATAACATATTCAAAACCATTTTTCCGCCCACAATCAGAAATGCTCTCTGGAGCCTAACATGTGATTATGTTTATTATAAATACTTCAATGCAAGTTCGTTCTATCTCTTTTGGAATCTCTTGCCTTCTCTGACATACAAGATGTAGTAATTAAAGAACTCGTGTTTCGACCCCTTGTGGGCAAATGCTATGAAAACATCACACACATTACATGTACGTATGCAACATTCACATATACGAATTCACTCAAACACACTTACATTCAACAATTTCTATGGACAACAGTAACACACATTTACAAACATTACGAACATTCACTCTTTCAACTACAAGTTACATAATTCTATCAACTCTCCTATCAGTGAGACCCTTTTAAAGACAACAAGACACATCGCCGCCATGCTAAAAAATTTAACTTGGATATATCATTTTTTTCAATTCTTCACTAGCAAGAAAAATACTTAAAAAAAAGTATTTTGAAGCTAAAAGTTTACTGAACATATTTTCAGCTTTTCAGGACATAATTCAAAGAAATTTTCTTACTCAGTTCTATTCAATGGAATTTACTCTTTGGTGAATATTTTATTTTAGCAGCAGATTTATTGTATTTATTTTCAGAAGTACACAAACTAAATTTCATTTAGTACAAAACAAAAACTTCTTGAAACATCAAGTAATAATTTAAAGTTCCTTCTTACCAAACAAATTCTCACAGTATTCATATTACACAAAAACATTCAACTATTTCACAAAGAACATTTTTTGTAAACACAAATTCTTACACTGTGAGATCAGATAAATATTCTTTCTTTCAAAAAAAGTTTTCAAACAATTAAATTCATAGTTAAGGGTGAACAACTCTTATTTTTTGCATTGTATATTTTGTACCAAAAACACTGTCTTAAAGGAACATTATAAAGCAATTTAATTTGCTAAATTAATAATATTGTTCTTTAAAATTCACCATAGCTCAGCTAAATATTCTGAGCAGTTTATTCTTGATAATTTGTATTATTCCTATATAAATATCATTGTTGTTTTACATCATTGTTGCCATCTTTTGTATTGCCTTGTGCCATACATCTAAAATTAAAATGCTTGTAGAGAAATGAAATTTTGTACATGCAGCCAACCTCACATGACTAGAATTGATAATATAGAAATGTTTCTCTCTTTCTCTACATTCATCTGTGAATATTTTTGTGTTTGGTGATTCTAATGCTCATCATGTCAAGTGGCTTAATCATTCTAATGTTACTGATGTTGCCAATATTGAGACTTTCAATTTTTCCATTGCTCAGTCTCTCAGTTAAATAGAGGATTCCCCTACTTGTTTCCCTAATAAATCTGTTCAACATTCTTCTTGACTTGATTTGTTCCTTACCTCCTCTCACAACTCTGTCCTCTTGGCAATTCGGATCACACTATAGTATCAGGCAAAGGTACTCCAGATGAGTTAAGACTAGAATTTGAAGTGAATTTACAAACAAAATATTCTGGTTTATGAGCAGATGTTAACACCTCAAATTGAATATTGCTGCCATATCTGGTCTGGTGCTTCTGCTATGTATTTAGAAATTCTTGATAAAATGCAAAGAACAATGTGCAATGTTATTGGTTCTGATCAGGCATCATAGCTTCAGACGCTTTCCCACCACTGTAATATAGTGTCTCTGCCTTTTCTATTAATATTTTCATGGTAATTGTTCTGATAAACTTTTCTCTACGGTACCTAGACTTTATGAATTTAAGTGTAGTAGTAGATTAGTGGCAAGGTCTCATCATTGTACAATTGAAATGGCAAGATGTAATTGTAACTTCTATACTAAGAGTTTCTTTTCTTGCCTGTGGTTTCTTGCTTCCCTGGCAACTTTGATCATCAAAAATTTAAATGCAATATCAATTGTTATCTTCTGTTTTCTTAATACCTGTTCTTTTATTGTTCTCTCCTTAATAAGGTTTTTTCTCATACTTTTCTTACACTCAGTTGTAGTGACTACTACTATGTTTGCCATGCCTACATTTTTCTCAACTGTGATTGGTTAAATAATAAATACTGATTATCACAGGAGAATTTACTGATCACAGTCACCCCACTGAATTTTTCCTACCGTTAATTTCACAAACATGCTTTTGTTATAAAATCACCAATTGGTTAATTTTTCATCCAATCAGATATTTTTTGTGTTCTTTCAAATTTCCCCTGCTTTTCTTCCTGGAGCCTACCAGTAGTAATAAAAGCGGGGTTTCGTTACAAAAATAGACAGTAGAACTCAGCAACTCACATGCATCTACACAGACTATTCATTCTATTCACTGCGCACACACAGACACAGAACTTGAATTACATTTCACCATCAGTTCTCTGTGAACAAACCAAGTTACACACAATGCTGTTAGTTATACAAATAACACACAACTGAATTAACCGTATGTTCTTCTGAATACAACATTCTATTTCAAAATAGAACTTTGAACATTCTATTCAGGAAACTTCCTTAATTACATTATTCTTATTCAAGCTAACAGATAAAGGGAAACTACTTTTTTCTCCTTAATATTCACACATTACAAAAATTGTTTTGTATTTGTTGATTTTAATATATATTTATCGTTGAAAAAAAAATCGGTTTTCCATCGTTTTTCCTTGATTAAAAAATGTATAAATGTTAAATGCTCTTCAACACTCAGCCACATTAATCTTTTCAACACAATCAGCATTTACACAGTAACCCCTTGAGTCTTAGTAGCTTTATTGTCTTGCTTGGGATGAAAAGATAAAAAAAAAAGGTGAATATGTTTGATGTCATGGTGAATATATTGTAATTCTCTGTACAGAAAATGTTCATGAGATTACACAAATCCTAAGTATGCAAAGATTGATATTTATAAGTATTAAGTTCAATATTAGAGTTTGTCTTAACTTTGTGAAAAAGTCTGACTTTTATAAGGAAAAAGAGTAAGTCATAGAGATTGGGCAAATGTTTGCTTTTACATTCAAAATCAATGAAAGCTGAATAAACATTGTTTTGGAAGGTTTATTTTCTTTTTTATGAATACAGATTTATCCTTCTTGTGTGACAGTTTGTGGCATATGGCATGTTGAAACAGAGAGAGAGAGAGAGAGAGAGAGAGAGAGAGAGAGAGCAAGAGCAAGAGCAAGAGAGAGAACAATACTCCTCCTTCTTTGTAGTAGGCAGTTGCCTTGATTAATTCTTTAGTGGTTAGTGGAGTGGACCAGTCTGTTTCAAGTTCTGACAAAATAGTAGAGAGAACTGACCACAAAGCTGTGTTTTCCTGGGTTTATATTGAGATTGGTAAATGGTCAGGAAATGTGGTGAGTGTATACAGGATTGTCCTTCGCAGGGTCTTTGATCTTTTGAATTGCATATCCAAGTATTTGGTTTCAGAAACGAAGCTAGCCAATTGACCTGTCCTTAAGAATGCTGGTGTTAATGTTAATGAGATGTTAAGGAGGTGATATTTTTCTTGGGATTTAAGAAATATTTTTATTTTATTTTATTTATTAAACTTATCTTACTACTACAAAGTAAAAGAACTGGATGAATATCCAGTATATTAATTCTATAATTTTTATCAGGGGCTATAAAATTAAAATCTCTAGACAAAAGTAAAAAGAAAAAAAATCAAATTTTCATTAATCTTTTTCTTTTTTTTTTTTTTTTTTAAAATATAATTAATTTTAAACATAATTATTCCTAACATGTATTTTCCTTTTTTTTCTTGCTTAAGAAATAAAAAAAAGATGAATTTGTTGAAAAAAAAAAAAAAAAGTGAATCCAAGGCCAGTAACTCTAACATCACGGCCGCTAGGTGGCAGCATGAGTAGAACGGAAAGTGACAAAGCAGTTCTAGTAGGTTGGGAGTCTTTTACGTTAAGTAAACGATATGGTAAGTCTATAAATCAGTAATATTTTATTGTTTAAGTTCTTTTTAAAGAAACGAGTTAAATCTTATTTAATTCTTGATGCTAAAAAAATCTCTTCTAATCTTAACTGACAAATAATTGCATTGGGAAATTTAAGAGGCTCGTAATTATTTAAGAAGATGTTCGTGCTTTTTCTTTTTGGATTTGTTGAGTTTTAACAAGTTCTTCGATACTGACAATAAGTAAATATTAATAATTTTGGTTATTTAATTTTATTTAATTGTTTAGAATTTTATCGAGATCTCTGAGTTTAATATCTATATTGATGTTTATTTAGAGAACAATTTTTTTCATTGTTTCGTTTTGAAACACCACCGGCTCTCTTTGTTTTTTTCGTTTTTCAAATATTTAACATTTTAACTTTTAGTTTTAAAACTTAAGCAATCTAAACTAAAATGAACTGGTTCCTAAATGAATTCTGTTTGTTGATCTGTCATTTTTGCATGAAGAAAATTCAATTAAAGTTATTGAATTGTTAAAGAGCTAATATTTTAAAAACGAAAATAATACTACCACCCTGAAAAAAAAAGAAAATTCTATAAATCAATATCTTTATTTTTTCTTCAAAATTTATAATCTTATTGTTTTTTTAATATACCTTATTTTAGTAAAAACAATAAGCTGCTATTAATTCAATTGCTAGTTAGGAGTAGGACTTAGGAGCATCGATATTTTTTAAACTTTGAGATATTAATTAAAATTTGAAACTTATGGCTGAATGGAAATTGAAAATTATTATAAACAAGAGTGGTTATTTTTATGGGCCCTCTAAATAAATGTTATTAAGTAATTGTACAGAATTTGTTTATATTTTTTCTTGTAACTTTTTTCTTCATCTTGGTAATGGTACTATCCGCTTTAATTTTAATTTCGGAGCAATATTCAAAGTTAATAAAAATTGATGTAGACTTAAAAGAAATTTACCATCATCAATGAAAATGTGTTTTTTAACCGATTGCTAATGAAGAAAGAACAATTATCGTTTGCTTTTATTTTTAATGTTAACTTAATTGTTAACTGTGGTACACTATGTACAGTAATAACAAGGGAACTACCCCATCTAACAAAATAAAATGCTTGAGTAACGAGCTCCAGTTTTTGTCACTGATGGTTTAAAATAGAAACTTCAAATTTGTTAAATTTAATTTTCAGAACTTAAATTGAACTTTTAATTTTCCTTTCAAGCAGCTGCAGTAATTTAGGTCACATGGCCGCCCGGTGACGAGCGAACAGGATTGCCTTGTAAATAGAATTCCGCAATAAGATGTGAATAAACCAACTGGGGAATTTCCAACTCTTAATAAAACTGTGACATGAATTATTTCTTAAGAATTACGACTTCTTGCTCTCTATTTGTTTTTACACAATCAGAAATTCGCTTTCAATACGATCTGTAGTGCTGTTAAAAACGAACCTTTAGGTTTTGTCGTGATTAATCGATTGATTTTTAATCTCCAAATATTTAAAAAATTAAAATTGTACTATCAAAAATCTATTTCATAAAAGTTTCAGAGTGAGACTTAACTAGTGACTTTGAAAAGTTTTTAGCTTGATTTCAAAGTTTGTACTTATTCTCTGAATAGAAGCTTAGAAGGGTCATTCATTCAGTATTTCTTTCTTACAACTCCCGTGCATCATCACGATCGAAAATAAAATAAAAAATTTAGAAGTCTTGGGCGAGATTTAATAATGTCAGAAATTCAAAAACTACTATTTATGAAGATAAAAGATCTTTAAGTGTCTACTTTTTTCATTTTTACTTTTTTGGGAATAAAAAAAGAGGATAAAAAATAAAAATTGATTAGGTTTGAAATGGCCTTTTTCAGTAAGTGCTCTACTCTTAACAAAGCATGTATTTTTAGATGGTAAAAGAAAAGGGATAAAGATTTAACATTTTAAAATTGAAAAAGAAAATTTTGAATTAATCCTTTTGTTTTCATTTTTGGCAGGGGCGGCTTTTAAGCTAGTATTACATATCTGTGTTCAATGACGTATAATTGAGCAAAATAGACAAAATTATGCAAAGCTAAAAAAGCTACATTAAAAAATCTATTAAAAAAAAAACAATCAATCTTTCATGCATCAAAATTTAAAAGATCCAATTCAACTGGAGCGAAGTCCAAACACTCTTTAAATTGTTTCAAGGGATACCGAAGAAAATCTGAAAATAATCAAATCTCCTCTGTTAAAATTTTTAAAAATTTTTATCAGGGACTCAAGACTAGAGGGGCCTTGGTGCACCCAGGCTGCAGCCAATATATAAATCCTGCACTGGTTATCTCATGCATTTGATGGGTTGGGTGTCTCAATTAAGTTTTAATTTTTTAAACTATCATTTTTCTATCTTTAGACTTTATTTCAAAGGGAGCAGTATGAGCCTTTCCACCCATGTTCTGCTAAGCTTGCTTTAGTAGTTTCACCTCATAACTTCCTGATGACCCTGATGAATTATTATTATTGAAGAAAATTTTTCTCAAATTTTTTCCTAGAACTATATTATTGCCAGCATTTTGGTTCCATTTGTAAACATCTTTCTAAAAGTAATGTTTTTTGTTAATCTCTACAAAACAAAATTACTGTTTTAAATAGTTGTATGGCCAAATGCTAATTATCATAGCTGAAAAGAAAGTCTTCTCTCATGAAGAATGTATTATTTGAAACATGTCAAAAACAACAACAATGAAGACAATAATCCAAAACTCATTAAACATTTAATTTCAAAACTATAAAAAATACAGATAAAGGAAATTTATTCTTTTATAGTCATCACTTATCTAATCTTAATACATCAAAATGACTAAAGCCATTTTTCAACTTATACTGTTCATGGAAAAATATAGGAAGTGTTACAAAGAAATTTATTAATAGCTTTTTGATAAACAACATTGGTGCAGTCTCTTATGAATCAAGAAGCATTCTAAGTTTATCATTCTGTTCTGTTGCAGAACACACAAATAAAAGAAAACCCCAAAATGTATTTGTGATAAGTTCTTGATGCTTTTTTGTTATTATTAATTATTGCTCATTACAAATATTTACAATGTAACTAGTTTTTCAGTGTTAGAACTAATTTAGTACAGAAAATAAGGAAATTGAATAGGGGTAGTTTTGCACACCACCACAAGTTGCTACAAAACCAAAGCATTAGCCTAAAAACTACAGTCATGTCCTTAAATAACCTTATCAGATTGAGACTTCCATGTAGATATTGTACATAGTGCCAAACTCATTCAGAAATATTAAAAGTGTCAGGTCTATACAACCACTTTCTAAGATCAATGATTAAAGTGACTTTGAGTGAATGAAGCCTGCAGGTTATAATGCGGACCATTCTTCTTTAAACCTTGTGGACTGGTGCTACAAAATGTATGAAATAATAGACACCATATCACCTGAAAACTTCCAACAGTAACAATAACTAAAATGGATAGCACATCTAATTCGAAGAGGAAATAATGACATTATCAAGATGTTGACATTCCACATTACTTCAAAGAAAAGGTTAAGAAGGAAGCCCCCACCCCCTCCAATCAGTACTGGAAAGAGTTAATGGACTTGAAAAACCTATTTCCCTGAAAAATTATTTTAATAGAAATATTTTATAAATTTCAACCAAAGGTAGTACTGTCTGCCTGGTCAATGAATGTCAAATGTTTTCTTATTAGAAATCTGCTAATATTACAATTACCATTTGTTTGACTTAACACAAGTCATCTGTAAGCAAAACTTGTGACTCTCTGAAAAATAAGATAATATTTTGTTTTACTTTGAATTTTTGCAGTAGATTTTAATTGAAGGCATAAAACAAAATGCTGTTCATCAAAAAGATAATTCATAGATGATTTCTTACTATAAGCAAATCCATTAATGGTAGAATAATGCTGTGGATCTAATTAAAAAAAAAAAGGCCATGAGTTTCTCAGTAAAGGAATAAAATTACTTTGCAAAATATAATTCCACAGTTCATGAAATAAGATATTACAGATAGACATGAATCAGATAAAAAAAAATTATAACTTTTGGTTGGAATTTATTTTATGTACATTTTTTCCAAATTATTTTTTTAAATGTTGATATTATTTGAATGTTTATTGCTTCCTTGTGTGTTTATTGAATTTATAAAAATTGGCATCTGGAGAAGAAATGCTCTGAACATAATGACTTGTATGTAGAAATTCTTTTATTTATTTATTTTTTTTTTGTTTTGTTTATTAATGTAAAATTGTTTGCTTTTGATTTTAGGGTCAGAATCAGTCAGGAGCATCAGGTGGTCAGGGTGGGGATAAGAAAGATGATAAGGTAAGTAATTGTTATTGTTTTTTTTGTTAGGAATGTTTCTTCTATATGAATAACAATTCTTTCCATATTCAGAAATAAATGTCTGAGTAAGCACTTGCAGAAAATAACTAGATAATTTTGTTGTTAGATGGAAGTTTTTTGTTTGACACCTGAGTTTTAGATGTACCTGTTTACTTTAAAATGATATATAATTAAGCTTTCTAGACATGAAAACAGTAGTTCGATCAATTTTATACTTTCTCATTATTTTTAAAAAAAATCTTTTTTTTTTTCTTTTGCAAAATTTTGGAGAAATATTTGAGTTAGAAATATGAGACAATCTATAAATGTGTCAGTTTTCTGTTTTTATTATTTCATTTCAAGCAAGGCAATAAAGACACTAAGATGCAATGAGTTACTGAGTATGAAAAGAATATGAGAAAAACATTAAGGAGAGGACAAAAGAACAAGAATTAAGAAAACTGAAGATGATTAGCATTACCTTTAAATTTTTGAAGGTCAAAGTTTTAAACAGAATTTGTGATAGGCATGGCTTTGACCCATTGTTGACATGGGTTTATTGCTCATTAGCTAAATTTTAATCTGAAATTTTATATATATAATATATATATATATATATATATATATATATATATATATAATAATTTTCACCATATATATATATTATATATATATATATATATAAATAAAATTTATAATAATAAAATTTTCACCATTATGCATATTATATATATATATATAGCATTTGATCTATGCCATTATTACTCATCACTGGATTAAGTGCATTGATAAAGAAGGAGACTATGTTGAAAAATATTTGTTGTGTAAAGCAAATGCTTTTCTCATCAGGAGAACTTAGTGATTTTTCAATATATTTTTACATTTATGAAATTGCTTGTATCATCTGTATTCCCAAATAAATTTAAAAATATTAGAAAATTACTTTTTATTCACTCAAATTCTTCCAAAATATTAACTGTCTTATCACAAAGTACCTTAGTATTTACAGATCTCTTTATAGTGCCATTATGATGGTAAAAAAACTCTTGAAGTCATTCAATGGCAAACTTGACAAAGATGTATGTGCTATGATTGTGGATAATGTTATTTTGATTTCTGCAACCATGGTTTTGCAAAATGTAAGTGCTAAAGAATTAGGTTGCTGTGAAAATCCTTGGCACTGTCTTTTATGTAATGTTAGAGAAATCTTATAAGTTAGGTATTTGTTGCTTTTGTTTGTAGAAAAGTGATAATTTCACTTTCTTTTGTTGAAAATCCTGGCTGAATATAAAATAGACATTCAACAATATTTAGTCTTCATGTTTAATCTTGGAAAAGCACAGCAGATGCTCAGCAGGGGTTCTCTGAATTTCATGATAATGATTCACATGTTAAGAACAGTTTTTGAAGTTCAAAAAAGACAGGAAATGTTTAACCTATGGATCTGCAAAGGAACAGTTTGCCAAAAGGATGGATTTTCTTTTGACACTGCTATTACTCTCGGTAATGTTTATTGTTTCAAAAAGCCATGTTTAGAATTTTAATAACAAAAATGTTACATGCTATTTAGTTGTTAAATTGTTTATTTACAGATCATGACAGGAGATGTGATTGAATATACTTTAATGTTTAAAAAAAATATTCAGTATTGTTTAGGTAATAAGCATTATAACATATCACAAATATCCATATTATGGAAAAAGAAGTGAAATTATCTGCATGTGTTGGATTGTGGTCAAACATGGGAAGCTGAGTGTTTGCCATGGCTTGTTTTTCAAAGTGAGGCCATTCCAAGCACTGGTTTTGTAATCTTTTTACTGGAAGGGGTGGGATGCACAGATCTGTCACCTTGTTACTTAAGGCCTGCCTTCCCTCCCTTCACATTTTTTTTTTTTTGTGAGAGTGACTTTATTTTTTGTTTCTATGATTTTTGTAATAGGAATTACTT